TTGTAGTCTCAGAATGCCTTTATTGGCCTGACGAGCAGGGATAACAGTTATATTGTACCTTGACTGTAGTGCACAGTATATATTGTAATCCCAATGTACAGAGCATGTTCAAGCATGTCATCCAGCACAACAAGATGCCGGCCAACTATCACATAGCCAACAATGCTGGCCTGACCCCGCTGGAGCTGTCCTACCGGCTGGGCCGCAACGAGCTCTTTGCCCGCCTGCTAGACCTGGCCAGTGAGACCCAGTGGGCTTATGGCAACCTGGCCTATGTTGCCTACCCTCTGGGCATGCTGGATACCATAGGAAAAGATGGAGCACTCAGTAAGTGGTACTTTAAAAAGTGGTATTCAGACAGCATATTATGCTCAAAATGAAGCACTTCCTAGGTCGTTCCAGAACATTAATTTGCATGTACTTATTGTAGGATCAACCCTATATCAGCTTGTCTATATGCCAACTCACATGCTTTGGACATGTTCCAGTTGGCATGACATTGGGCTTTGTTCTTGAATGACCTCACCTTTTGGGGCTCACTGTGAGGCACCTAGCTGTCATCGTTAGTTTCCGTGTATGTTACAGTGTTTCATGTTGTCAAAGTCTGGAATATTCTTCAGAAAGCATCATGGAGTTGGAATTTTCTCAGATGCTTCACCGTAGATCTTCAGAGTCATTGGTTCTTAGCCTGCTGCGTGTGAAGTTCTTTGCAAGCTGCGATGTCTAGTGTCACGCTTTGTTGGCGTGGCTCGACTTGGCTCGGCAATAACACATATGCCCAGGGTAGCTATAAGCTGCATTTAATTTCCCACGGACATGTTTGCTATTGTGGCAGGCAGCCAAGACTTCCTAACTGTTCTCTGAGGAAATTGGACTAGTTGTTAGGGATATTCTGGACTTCACATTTGGGTTGCTTTCGTAAATCTGACTAAGCTCATCCACTGCTAGGTTAAGGGTTGGAAAACATCAAATGATCACTCTTTCACCATCGTAAAGTTTATCTCCGAAGTTTTTTGTGAAGGATTTAAATAGTTAACCACTATCAGAGTCAATGTACAGGACAGCCAAGTGTTGAAGAAAGTCCTCAAAAACTTTGTTGGAGCATAAAAATCAAACTTTAGTTTCTCGTTTCATCCAGACAAGCACTCGGCACTCCGAACAATCATCAAAAAAGACGACCCCCAACACCTGAGGATGTTGGAAGGTCAAGTCATCAATCAGCTACTACAGGAGAAGTGGAAGAGATATGCCAGGGTTGGTGCTCATCCGTTCCATTAAGACACTTCCCTGATTTTCTGAATGGTATCTGCATGAACTAAAGGGATTAACCCGCAACTTTGGTGTGAAAAGAGTTCTTGCTTACAAGAGCCTGTTCTGCTACAAAACTTGCCAAAAACTGATAACTGCTTGTACATATGTTGCCAGTTTTCATAACGACATGGCTCTTCCAGTGCAGACATTGCTTCAGCAGGACAGGGAGTTCTATCACCAAGCAATGGTCACTTGTTTGTATTGAATAGTAATCTGTAAAGGCAATCTTCATAGTTATTTCTTTGTAAATTTTGCTTGCCTAGGGTGGCTCACAGAGCTTTGCTCACAGGAATGGAACATTTCTTGGGGTCATTTTGACGTCATTTCCTTGAAGTGCCTAATTACAGCTTTGTCCTTTGTTTATTTCTGGTCTGATTTATTCCTCTTAATTTAGGGGCATTTCATCTTCAAGTTTGTGTGGGCTTGTTTGCATCTGACCCTTCTCAGCCTCTCAATCACCCTGAGACCCGAAGGAGATCTGCTCTCAGGAAGCGATAACATTACAAAGGTCAGCCGCTGGAGAGCGTTAATGCAGTAGAGCTTAATAGATGCAATGGAGAGTGTATATACAGAAAAGATTGTGTTCTCTATGTTAAACCGCTTACTACTGGACACTTATACCTTTCCTGATGATACAGCTCTCAAACAATGATGTAAATACTCATTTACCAGAAAAACTGAGTTCAGGTGCTGAATTTGGGGTTTGGGCCTGGCCACCCCAGGCTTTCAAGCACCTCTCGTCAGCCAGTGTAGTAACCCAGAGGGGATTTGGTCGCGGTTTAAGTGCTATACCCCAAGAGTGAGCAATTAGTAGCGCTTGACTTTAAGAGTGTGGGGTAGTTAATAACAAACGTGGTGTTTACTTTTGTGAAGTTATGAAACCCCATTTTCCAGTTTTAATTGTTGAAATTGTGCACAGATGCCTGAGTTAGTGAAACTCCTAAATCCATGAAATTGTCTGTTCCCCTGTAGAGGAGCGCATTTCAAATAGTTTACAGTATAGTAGATCGGGCACATAGTTACAAGAAGGGTGAAATAGCTACCAGTACTAGCAGTGTTGACAGATCAAGCAGACAACATCACCGTTCCTGCTGCAGCGATACACTATGAAATCGGGGACCAGATTCTTAATGGAGAAATTCTCCTTATGAAATAATGGTTCATATTTGTACACATCGAGCTGGAAACTTCTCATGCCCGGCCCACTCTGTGCTGTTTTTGCTTGGGGTATTGCTTTAGCACAAAAAAAAACACACAAGACACACAAAATGCAGCAAATCTAAGTAAGCATCTTGTGAACAGCGTTAGCAAATGCATGACTAGCTGCGGTGGACTTTCAGTAGTTGGTGAAGACAACTGTACTCGCTCAACGTGACCTCACTAAATTGAGAGTGTCATCTTCTTTATAAACAGTTAAAGTTTATACAGAATGTGATTTTACTTGCCGGTACTTCTCAAGTTGTGAGAAATGTGAGCACGAAACGGATGACTGCTACTACAGCACCATTGTGTGAGCATTAGTGGATACCACACATACAGTCTATTCACCATGCAGCTGCTGGTTCAATGGGGCCTGCTGCTGGACAAAGCCCTCCATTCAGGGCATGCCACAGCCCAGCAGTCATGGTCAAAATCATAATCCTGCCATGAAGGGGTTAATACATTTTTAAATACTCTTGGCTTGGTTGGTTAATCCTGACATCCTGGCATATTTACTAGGGACCTCCTTAAATCCTCCAAATTGTCCTCAGAAAAGCAGTGGTACATGCCTTGTATTGAAACTGGCATGAAGCTGCAGATATCAAGTGCTGGACACTACGTGCTTTGGGCTTGCAAAACCTCCAAAATCCCTTGGTAGATTTGGACGCATTGAGGGAGTGGGATTCAAGATGTGAGTGGATGGTGAAAATTGTACCCAAATTGATTTGCTCTCTGAGAAGAGTGAGGAGTGACGTCTATTTTAATGGTGGCTGTTTTTTGTCAGTTACGTTACTTCACGGAAGTGTGCGTCATCATCGGCTGTGTGGCCAAGACGGTAGTGGAGTGCATTGAGATCAGATCCAGAGGATCACTGCTGGATTATTGCAAGAGTCTGGTGAGTTGCAAAACAAAACCTACAAAGTTCTGTATATTGTACCATTTCTCAGAACAGGTGAATTTGCATCCTAATTAAATTGTTAGTGGTTGAATGTTAATATACAGATTATGAATATGATTATGAAGTGCAGTGGTGAAAACAATTTCATAAGGTGACGGATGGAATGTTTACTTTGTGGAACGGGACATAAAACTCCATCTGTTATCAAATGAAATGATTCCTTCCATTGCATGAATGTGAAACCAAAAATCCATTATGTGTTTCATACAATGTCCGAATGATTAGTGAATACATCCCCGCCGGAATAAATGCTTGCATCATCAACAAGTTCACAAATTCCATTTTGTGACCACGGAATGGAATGATCTGTTTAATGTGAGACGGAACGTCTGTATTGTGGTAAAACCACATTGGGCAAGTAATTGTTTTTAAATGAGAAAAGTATTTTGCTTGCATTGTCATTCCTGTTGTCTAAACTGTTGAGCTGCGCAAAGAAATCAGGAGGTTGGAAGTGTCATTCAGATCATGTGCAGTATTTTTCAAAATACCACTCGAATTACGTGGGCCACTTTACAATTTTACTATTCCCAACTGTTCAATTTACGCGGGATTCTTCTCTGCTCCCTCCCGTCCAGTACATTCTTCCCTTCAAAGGTCTGTTCATGTGCGCCATTATCATGTTGTACATCTGCGTACCGCTGCGCTTCCTCGGTCTCCGTCAAATTGAGGACAGGCTGCTCATCATCATTATGCCTTTCTCCTTCGCCTACATATTGTTCTTCTACCGGTACGATTTCAGTTTTGAAATACTTTTTTTTGGCCAGTCAACTTGTCTCATGTGTCCTCTGTTTGTGTTTTGTTTTATTCTTGGTAGTACAGTGCAAAACACTTTAATAAAAATGGAAACTTCAATCGTAAGAATGTGATTTTTATTGACAAACATCTGGAATCACATCTCCCTCTCCCAAACTCCACATCAAGGACCAACTTTGATCCATGACATACTTTCATATTTACTCTCAGTTTCCCAAAATGAAATGCTCACCTGGCTTTCAGTTTAGCATGGACAATTAAAGTCTATTGTCGACTTTGCCTTTGGTTAGAAGGTCATCTCAAATGTTGTAATCATATATTGAATATTTACGTCCTCCCACCATGCTTTTCACATTTCAACATTCATGACATCCCCCCTTCCCCCACCCTTGAAGTAACTTTTGTCTGCTGCCCTCTGTTGCTCTACAGAGGTCACCAGAAGCTTGGACCGCTCATTGTCATGATAGGCAAGATGACCAAAGGAGATGTCTGTCGCTTTGCCATCATCTACGTCATTTTCATCTTCATTTTCGGGGAAGGTGAGTTTATTCATATTTTTCACTTCAAAAATAAGAAGTAGAATAGAAATAACAATGATAACGATGAATTGTTATATACTGTTACAATTCGCATTGAAATCTTGTCAGTTTTTTTTTTTTTTAACACAGTTTTGTACCGTTTACTTGCTTTAAATTTCCTGTGCTGTGTTTCCTCTATCCCAGCATTCCAAAAATTTGTTCTTTGCTGAATGAAATATATTTATCCGCCTTCGCACAAAGCTTTGTTTTTGTGGGGTTTTGGGGGGTTTTTTTTGGTCACATCTTTCAGCTGACGTTGCCGTAACCATTTTCTGTTCTTATCACCTCTTCCTGCCCAGCATTTTTCTACCTGTTCAAAGGTGTGGATCCAGGGATATCCCAAGACTTCCAGACTTGGAATGGCTCCATGATGATGGCATTCCTCATGGCCTTTGGAGATTTCCCAGTGAGAAACTCCTTCTTAGAAAATCCTCCTTTAGTAAAAAAGATTGTGTAATTTGCACACGAAAAAAGCGTGGGCCAAAGTTTAAAGTCTTGTAATGCTCAATATTGTAGAGGAAGATTCCACAAATCTTAACTCTGAAAAGAAAAGGGGGCAGTGTATTTTGTTATCATTTGCCCCTTGAGCAGATTTCCAGATAAGAGCATCCTTTATAGTCCACATTGATATGTCATTGTCATTATCGTGCAACTGGGCCTACATGTAGGAATCCACACAAGGTTGTATTTCTAATGTAGTAACCGGTAGCAGTTTCTGCAAACCTGAGTTTCTGTTCACTTACGGTTTTTATCATCGAATATAACAAATCAGAACTCCATAACTATTAAGTAAGATTTGAAGCTTTGCATGGTGAATGAAACATGAGAAATGGGTTTGCGGGTACACCATGGAATCAATCTCTTTGGACGAGGTGTGGTTCTTAAAAAGTCATGGACCGTGCAGCGTACTCCAACAAGGTACAAGAAATCCTCACATCCGGCACCTACCACCCCCGCCCAAGGACCCCACTTAAGCCATCGAGAAACTCCACTGCTCCAACTCCATCCCAGCAGACCTGTACCTCCACCTCCGCCCATCAGCATCTACCTGTCCAAGATTCTTCGGTCAACTCAAGATCCACAAACCGGACATCCCCCTGCGCCCAATTGTGTCTTCAAGGGGCTCACCGACGTACGAGACCGCCCGCTTACTGACCGGCCTCCTCCAGCCCCTGATCTGCAACACTCCACACCGCATCTCCAATTCGTGAAGCGCACGAGAAACCTGTCACTACAGCCAACAGACATCATGGTGAGCTTCGACGTGGTGTCGCTATTCACCAATGTCCCCACCGAAGAATCATGCCAGATTGCCAAGGATTGGGTGGACAGTGACCCCTCCCCCGCTGACCGCACAGCTCTCTCCTCTGCCCAGACCACAAACCCACCATTTGGCTGCGCTATGTTGAGGACACATTCGTCATATGGCCCCGTGGTCAAGATCACCTCCAAGAATTCCTTGAGTACCTCAACAAGCAATAAGCAAATTCACCATAGAACAAGAACAAGACAGACACCTCTCCTTCTTAGATGTTCAACTGTCCAGAAACGCAGACGGTACCCTCAATCACAGTGTCCACCGCAAGCCCACCCACACCGACCGGTACCTGCACCAGCGATCTTTCCACCACCCAGCCATCAAGACCTCTGTCAACTGCACCCTTGTCCACAGAGCCTACGAGATCTGTGTCCAGAACAACCTACACCAAGAACTCCACCACATCAAGTCCGCCCTCAAGATGAGCGGCTATCAACGTATCAACCTTTCCAAGCCCTCCCCAGAACGTTAGGGTCTCCTATACCTGAAGTCCCCCCTCACCCACGGCATTAGGGTCACCTATACCCGAAGCCCCCCACTGCCACTGCACTCACTTGGACAAGCACCCACCCAGCAGTTGCCACGGCGTATATCGCATTCCATGTGAATGTGGCCAAGTAAACATCAGAGAAACCGGCAGGAACCTCCCCACCAGACCTCAAGAACACTGCTCACACGGCCGACGAGGAGAATACGACAAGTCGGCCATCATCAAACGTGTACACTCCACGGACCATCGAATGGGACAAAGCAGAACTCATTGCCCCCATCCAGAAATGGCTCCCAAGGAGAATCCGAGAGGCCTTTTTTCCGGCACAACACCGTACCCCAAGACATCGGTTTCAAGCTCAGCAACATCTAGCGCCCCCTACTAGCACCGAAGCAGACACCCACTCCCGGGCAGTAGGGTCCCCTATACCCGAAACCCATGCCACACACCCAGGCGTTAGGGTCTTCTCTACCTGAAGCCACCCCCACCCCCCCCCTTGGCATAAGGGTCCCCTATACCCCAACCCAGGGTTTCCCACCAATTCCAGGATCCAACACCTTCATGCAACACCGCACAAGCTAAGTCATACAACCTATGGTTCCACACTCCATTCCGGCACACTCTCCTGAAGACAGCCAGAGCACACTGGCTGAAACGTTGAGTTTATATTCACTGGTTCTTTTAAGAACCACACCTCATCCAAAGAGACTGATTCCATGGTGTACCCGCAAACCCATTTCTCATCCCTAACTATTGTTTATTAGAAGTGGGCCTAGTTGGTTCCTCTTTGTGGTTCATGTCATAAACAATGAGAGAGGAAATGGGGGATGATGACATGATATACACTAAGTTTTAAAAATTCAGGTCAGTGGATCACATTTCTAAAATTAACAAATTCAGTCCTATGTGCAGTGAAATTAAAAACCTCTTTTTTTATTATTGTTATTTATTATTAATT